GCAGTGAGTGTATGCGCCCTCTAGCAGATTAAAAAATAAAAGGAGAGAGATTACTAAACAGAGCAGTGGTTCTCGAATGAAGTGGCAGGATCGCAGCATCATCACAGTTTGTTAGAAATGCAAAATCTCAGGCCCCCAGGTCAGTTCTAACCCAGAAACTCTGGCGACAGGGCATAGCAGCCCATGCGATAGAAAGCTCTCAAGTATTCAGATATGCACTAATGTGTCCAAACCATTGCCATACAGAATGAATTAAGAAAAAGCAATGATTAAAAAAATATAAATATATATATTACATATGTCATATACTACATGTACTATGTAACATATATAGTATATGACATATTATATGTTATATATTGTGTGGCATATATGCACATATGCTATACATGACGTTCATATTATATGACACACGTATGTGCATATATGTTATATTATGTATATAATGTCTATTATTATAACATATATAATATATAACATATTATATATAATATATATGTGTATATATACTGCTAAAAATAGTAGAATAAAATAAAACTTAAAAAAAAACCAACTACAAAAGCACGGTAGATTATGACTATGAAAGGAAAAATCTGAAACCACCTCTGAGACCCTAAACTTCTGGTTTGCTATTAGCAATGAGAAGTTATTATTAATAATGATGAAAACACTTTACCACCATGCTCTGACCCCACCAAGAAATAGTAAAGTTTTGTGTGCTTTAAATGAGAAAGGAGAAATGTGTGCATTTTATTTTTCAAAGGTCTATTGAAGCTACTAAAATCCTGTTAGAGGTGTGGGCCAGCCAAGGGAGCATGCACTGGTAGGTGCTGTTCTTCATCAGGCGGAGGCCACAGGGGAGGCCTGGGTTCAATTCCTGGCCTACTCTAAAAGCCAGGCATGGTGGTTCCTGCCTGCACTCCCAACTACTTAGGAAACTGAGGCAGGTGGATCACAACATAGTGAGACTCCATCTTAGAAGAAAGGTTCAGTATGTCGAAGAATTTGTTTTTGTTTTCTGGAATATTCCAACCTCAGAAGTAACACCTTCCCTGACAGTAGTGTGAATAAATCAGGAATTACCATATGTGCTCATTTTTATTTTTCTGCGTGTGTGTGTTTTCCATCATTGAAATAAGCATACCCTTAATTGCTGAAGAGTGGCCACCACAAACTGCCTGTAGCCATCGAAGTCAGCACACGGGTTCCCCATGAGGAAGAGCTCCTTTAGATGGATGTTATGCTTCAGGGTTTCAACGCTGCTCAGCTCGCCAATGAAATTTACGGTCAAGTCAAGTTTTGTCAGCTGTTCACATCCTGTTGAGAAAAAAGAGAAAGGAAACAAGCCAAAAAAATGACAAATTATGGTGGTAATAGAATGTGTGTGTAATAGTGCGTAATAGAAGTAACAGTCAAAAGAGTTTCGATCTGCTGATTAATTGTATTGTTTTTCAGAAATACCAACTCGGAAAGCGTATCCGTAATTCACTTTCTGTCTGCATCATCCTTTAGCTCCTCCGACCAAGGGAACCCACTTTCCCTGCTGACATTGTTAGGCCCAGGCTGGCTACCATTTGGATTTGATCACTGTCTGGCATGAAGACAGTCAAGTGTAAGCCGCTGGTGGGGGTGGGCACTACAGCAGAACAAATCTCCCCCTAGAGGGAGCACCTGGAATCTGTCCCCTGAAAATTTTCCCAGGTAGAACATAATTCACCACAGAAAGCAACAGTGGGAAGTTTCCCCAATGGGAATGGCATCTCTTAAAATTCGTGTGTTATAAGCAATAGTTGGAAATTCACCTGGAAGAGAAAGAATGACTCCTAATCCACCAAGAACTGAACTGAAGGCATCATCAAAGGTAAGGAATAAGAGGCTTTGATGCTCAGAAAAATAAAAGGAAAAGGATGAGTCACTGAAGCTGAGTTTTACAGCTTTATAGTAAATCTGACCCACCCCCTTCCTTATAGAGCTATCCAGGTGCTACAGAAATTTGAATGAAATTCATATTTGAATTTGAATGAACTCTTCTTATTCACATATCATGGGGACTTAGTGGCAAGGAATCTAGACTTTGGAATTAGCACACATAAGGTCAAGTTCTACGCCTGTCCTGTTCTCGGGAATGTGACCTTGGGTAAGTTATAGACTTCAGCCTCTTCACCTGTAGGATTCTGTTAGTACTGAAACTGCTCAGGAGGTGTTGTGAACACTGTCTAAGATGATTCACGTCAAGTGCTTGTCATCTAGAGAGCATCACTAAACATCAGCTGCGACTAGACTAGCCTGGCGACAGTCTTCTGGTTGTCAAATGGCTTCTTGGACAATGCGCCTACAGGGAAAGAAGGGAGCATGGCTGCCTCAGGAGCAGTCAGTTTACTTCTTATTGGGAACTGAGTGAGCATTGACCTGGTTTACACAGCAGCCTCTGTGGGTCTTCTTGGCATAAGGCTTGTGGGATTGATAGAGAGGCCTCTTTAGCCGACAGTTTTCTGAACTCATTTCTTCAAACTTCTGCTCTCCTCACCCTTGCCTTACACTTCCTGGTTATACGCTACTTTCAGTCATTGTTTTGTGGCTATATGACTTAGAGCAGATGCTGGTTCCCAGGGGCTGGCAGGTGGTGTAGTGATTAAGGATGCCGATTCCCACATGGCTGACCACGGTTTGCGTCCCAGACCTGGCAGCTTGTTTTCTCATTTTCTCTCTCGGTCTCTCTCTATTCCTCTCTAGTCAAATTTTTAAAAATAAATAAATAAATAGATATATAAATGGGTAAATAAGTTAAATAAAATAATTTTTTTTGAGAGGTTTTGCTATAGGGCGCGTGCACTCGCCAGACAGAGAGACAGACAGAGAGACAAAAAGCGAGAAATCACCCCCCAGGGGGAATGGCCACGCCGCAATCCCTTCTCCTCCATTCTCCTTCTTGGGATCTTGGGCACGTACACACAAGCGCCCGGCATGAGTTTTAAGCCACGTGGTCCGGACATGAACCACAGTTGACTACATGGGAGTCCAGCGACATAGCCATTACACTAACTGCTGGTCCCATAAATAAAATAATTCTTAAAAAAAGTTGGTTCCTCATAAATCAAAGTCAAAAATGTAAACTTGATTCACATTGGCTCATAGTTCTGTCACTGTATCCCCTCTGGCAAAGTTTCCTTCATTTCTGAAAGCGATACAATGGGACCAACTCCATTAAATGCTAGCATGCTCCTCTGCCTTGCCCAGAATTCCACACCTTCCTCTTACTGAGTCACACCCCAAGTCAGTCTTGGAATAAGCATCTCTGCCCAAGTTAGCTGTTTATTACTAAAGTGGCATCATCATCATCAACATCGTCTTAAAATTCTGAGCTAAAATTTGTGGAACACAAATGGGGACCTGTGAGTGAAAACAGTTGTCATCATCCAGGACAGGGATGGCCCAGGTCAGGGCTTGCCTGAAATTCACGACATGGGTAAAGAAGGCCAGACCAGCCTGGGGAAAAGTGAGAGGAGGGAGATGGGATAAGAAAGGCCAGAGACTCTGGTCAGCAGGGAAGTGAGCGCCATCTCCCCTCCCACCAAAGTTTTAGTTCAAAGGATCAGTCACCATAAATAGGTTCATATCTCACATCTCATTGTGCCATCCTGTTACGTGATATAAAATGTAAAAAGGAAGGTTAGGAAGGAAGGGAGAACTTGAGGACCTTATGAAAAAATAAGATCTTCATCTTTCACATCAGGAAGTCAATAAATGCTGTCCAAAATGAGAATATCAAGAAATAATAGGTAGAACTGATCCTGTGCACCGTGGTTAAATCCCATGCATAGGGGGCCAGAAATCAAGTGGCTGACCATGATTTGATTCCCTGCCTGGGCAGCTAGAAAAACATGCCAGGCACATGTGCATGGGCCTCAAATCCTGATGAACTGAAGAAAGGGAGGGAAAGAATTGTGACTTGACCACACCCTATAGAGGGGTTCTCTCTCTCTCTCTCTTTCTCTCTCTAGTGAGCACATGCACCCTCTGGTAAAAAAAACAATAATAAAACCAAAATAACAGATAAGCATGATATTAGTGTATTACTTGGAAATAAGGAGAAAGGCATAATATGAGCACATTTAGAAACATTCAGCAGAAGAGACTAGGGAAATTGAGAGAGGACACCTCTGGGGAAAAGGACTCGGGGTCTAAGAACACTGACAAGGGACTGCTGATTTTCAAAGTACAACACTTTGACTTTTTGCACTACATATTGTATTACTACGTCCTATGGTTTCGATGTCTCCACCAAAACTCAGCTTGAAACATAATCGCCATTACAATGTTAAGACATGAAGCCTTGAAGCCAGCAGGTGGCACGGTGGTTAAGGTGCTGGACTACCACATAACCAACTCCAGTTCAAGTCCCAGACCTGATGACTTGAAAACCATGCCAAGTGCATGTGCGTGCATGCCAAAATCCCAAGAGGAAAATGGAGAAGAAGGGATTGCAGTGTGGCCACTCCCCGGGGGGGGGGGGGAGGAGTGATTTCTCACTTTCCCTCTCACTGTCTCTGTCTTTCTCTAGTGAGCACACACCTCTTATGGCAAAAGGTTTAAAAAAAAAAAAAAAAGATGAAGCCTTTAAAGGGTGATTAGGTTATAAGGTCTTTACCTTCATGAGTGGATTAATACCATGACCCAGAGAGTGGGCTTGCCATTACAAAAATGGCCTTGTCTTGCTCCCCGTTCGGATGCCGCGCAGATGCTGGTATTGGTAGAGTACGCTTGAACTTCCCAGCCCGCAGCCCATGAACCAAATGAACTTCTATTGTTTATAAATTACCCAGTACATAGTATTCTGTTACCGTTGCAGAAAATGAACTAAGATACTATGATAAAAATGTTGATTATTAAAAAGCTTCATATCTAAAATGTATAAGAATAGACATGTTTATATATTCTAGATTTTACTACATTGATAAAAGAAATTAAGGAACTTCACGTCTTTGAATATAATTGCATAAATCAAACAGGAAAACAAAATCATTATTTCTACTAACTTCATAAAACACGCACACATTTTTTCAAATTGGAAACCCTATAGCAGTTATACTTTTTAGCATGCAATCTGTTAATACACAAAATACTTATTTTTTTTGTAGAGAGTTTTTGTTATAGGGCACATGTGCCCATTAGAAGGACAGAGATGGAGAGAAAGTGCAAAATACCCCTCAGGGGGGATGGCCATGCTGCAATTCCTTCCCCCCTAGTCTCCTCCTGGGATTTTGGGCACACATGCACACATGTCTGACTTAAGAGTCAAGGTGCCCTGTCCAGGACTTGAGCCATGCGGGAATCCGGCACCTTAACCACTATGCCACCTGCTGGTCCCAAAATAGGCTTTTAATGATTTCCCCACAATGTCCAGAGTTTTGCTTGAAGGAAAAGGTCCCAATCAAATACCTCAAGTGGAAACAGAAGTGATTTGTTCAAAGCTGTTCAGAACAGTTCTATCCATAATAATCATTATTAAAACACTTCAAGCACGAACAATAAGGAGTTATTTAAAACACATCAAAGTACTTGATAGTGCAATTATTAAATTATAAAATGTATACTCAGCCACCATGTGAAGAAAAAATGTAAAACTCTCTGTAAACATATAATTAAGTCTCTATCCTATGTCCACATGTTTATTTTACATTGGCAAAAATGCGAGACGGATTTTATAAATGTGAAAGATATATTTGGCATAGTCTGCTTGAAGATACAGGTTACATGGTATTTCTTAAGTTTACATTGGGAGGCTCTGGGAGACATTTTAATTAGATTTTTCCTTTCATATAAGAAGAGACTGACATTTAAAAGACTCCAACGAGGTGAAAAATTCATGTATTTTTGGATTTTGCTGTAATTTTGTAGATGAAGGACCTTCCAAATGCTCATTATATTTTTTAAAGTAACGAATCTTCATTTTTTTTCCTACGAAGCCTGCACATAAGAAATTAAATTTCATTTACTATCTTAATGATGAACGATTCTTGACTCACTGGCCAAGCATGAGAAATCCTCTTCTGGGGAGTCAGGCAGTCCCTCCTTCAGCTGTCCCAACTTCTACCTCCTGTTCTGTAAAGATTCAGTTTAGTGACTCTGTGGTGCCTAAAAGTCACTGAAATCAACCATGTGGACTGGGCAGGTGAGGGGTATGGCAGGGATGGCAAGCACTATCAGCAACTCCATGCACTATGCCTTCCAGTGATGGAGCAAGGAGGTGGGATAGAAAAGGGCACACTTTATTCTACTTTGGTGAATCCTCAACAGGGAAAAAAAGCAAAAGGCAT